CTGCAGGTATCGATCCCTGGCCTCGGCGAGCTATGGGAGTTGAGTTGCGCGTGATTGACCTCTGCTCTGCGAAGCCTCCCGCCGATTCGTGATCCTGGGTCGCTCCAGCAAGATAGGTTTGGGTCATGTTCGTTCCATTCGTCGAGTCGCTGATGTTTAGTGTCTCCGGCTTCTCCACGACGTCCTCGGCATTGCTAGCAGTCTGCTTCAAAACTGTTGTCGGCTGTTGCTCGAGGTCTTCCATCGCTTCATCTCCGTCATCGTCCGCCCTAACCATCTTTGCGGCGCTCGATGCTGGGCCGGATGCAGGGACTGGGCGTATATCACGAGCCTTCTGAAGCTCGGTATACTCTCGTAGGGATATAGTCTTCCTGGGCCTCATCGTCTGAGGACGTTCGGACGCCATCTCGAAGGAGCAAATCTTGGCGACTAGGTCTTTGTTGTTTGGTACTGTGGCTCGCACTTGTGTTGTGTTGAAAAATCTCAGTATTGGAATATTATGAGAGGTGTAAGACGGATGTAATGTATTTGAGGGAGTGTGGGCTCTTCAGTCACTGTTTGTAGGCGCGTATGGACGCGTGGTGCGCGCGATAGACTTTTCCAGAACACAAACGGATCAAGAAAGTAAACAAAGCCGCTCAGTAGTGATATCAGCGTTTGTAGTGCAAGGATCTGGCTAGAAGCGACTACGACGGATTCACCGCTCCCATCAACGAGCCGTCGGGGTATTCTCCAGATAGTTTCATAACAGTCATTGCATCAGTAAATTGAATCGGGGACTACATACATGTCGCAAATCAATTCTCTTCTAGAACTGTTCCACATTAAATCATTTGCGCGTATCTTGGAAAATTGACATCCATTCGATGTCTGTATTTCCCAAAGAATTTCTCCACCAGTGTAGGTTAAAACTGACGCTCGTGTAGGTGAATATTCAAACTGGTACATGTTTGCTAACATGAACGCTCATGCCCACGTAAATGTATGAGTGATGACAGCTTTGAATTTCATGGACGGTCGATACTTTCGAATATTCGAAACAGCCTAGTAGATTATGGTTGACGAAACGAGATAACTTGTCCACGAACAAAACCTTGGGATGTCTAACCTGCTGCTTTCTAAACATCAAAGGATAGAAATGCTAGCAGTACAGTGAGAAACCAGTGATGCTCTCATGAACGGTCCACTCGTAAGTGGTTAACACAATATCATATTAGTAACATGTCCGATAGTGCCACTCCAAGGACGTTATATACTCGTGCGTAGTAGCGGCAAGCAAGCTGATAATATATCGCGTAATATGGAATATATACATACAGCCCTATCATACTTGGCAGCCCACATAGTTGACGGTCTTTATCACACGAATTGCTTTCCTCGAACGGCATCTGAAAATTCAGTGGGGATACAGTGAGACAAGGCGCTAACAACATCAGAGATTTGAGACTGAAAATGTGAAGTTCAAGATGCGTGGACAGCCATGTAAGAGTCGAATCCAGAGTAGCTCCCGATAAAGACAGTATCCTCCAGAGTGAAACTCCCCGATCTAGGTGAGAATCATAGTGTATGCAGATACATGCACTGACGCTTGATTGCAGCTCTTTGAATCGATTTAGTGCTTGGATAGTCGGGATCCATAACGTTTTCAAGTAGACAACGCTTCCAATTTAGAACCACTCTCAGAATGCTGGCCCTGTGCCTGTATGGTAGTTGCAGCAGGCGGATCGCTCCTTCCGCCAGTGGTGGGGAAGAAGGCGCAGCCCGACATGCGGCAACAGGCGAAGACGGTGCGAAGCGAGCCAACAACACGCCATCGATTTCACACCCGCCGCCCCGCCCGTTGCGCCCTCTCCCAACCTTCGAAGTCGTGAACGATTTGCTCTAGGAAGACATGTATCAGGAGTCACACACCTCCCGTCACATAGCACACTACGATGTCGCGAAACAAACGCGTCCCGTAAGAAATGGTGCGCACCGAGAGCGCTGTTCCGTGTCCGTGTCACACATCAACACCAACGCCACCAGTACGCTAGCACTTCTCCCGGCATGCCTAGACCGTCGTCAGTCGCAAAGCGGCTGGGCTGATAAGGCGCCGCGCCAGCAGACTCGGAGACTTGCATCTCTAGCCCTATTCAGTATCTATCGAAGCAGGATGGGTCTGCGAGCCCCGCCACGTGTCCGCTTCTCTTTGCAATCTTTGCTTTCTGAGCTTGCAAATCAAACACAGGAACCAAGCAATGTGGTTGCGCCATTCAGGGAGACAAAGTTAACGGGCGATTTTCACAGGGAACCTCAATTCACCCCCACCAACTTGTCGTACGGAACGCCCGGCGCTTAATGAGCAAGGTTATTTCTTGGGAGTTGCATACTGTCAATATATATCGACCCGCATTTCCCGGCGCAACCTGATACCTATTTGTCCTGATAGACCGAACCTGTAGACTGTCTCCTGGGTCGGAACCTACTAGCTGTCATCCCAAACTGTCGGGTAAACAAAACTGCCTTTGTTACTTCGTTATACACAATTGCCATACAATTCGACTCTAGCGAGGCAATCGCAAGATGGCGTTCGTGGCGCTGTTGTTGAAGGTAATTGGGCTTGGTATCATCTTGCTACTAAGTCAGTATGCTCTAGCATATCTGAGATCACCACTCAGGAAGATACCCGGACCATTCTTTGCCAAATTTTCAAATATATGGCGCTTCCTCGATCATTATAGTCAAACGCATATCGAGACGCAGAAGAAGCTGCACGAGAAGTATGGCGATATCGTTCGCCTCGGTCCCACGACAGTCAGCATCGCGGATCCAAGTCTTATCAAGACCATCTACAACACGCGAGGCACATTCGTCAAGGTAAGCTCACTCGGTACTACAATTTCACGATCTGGATCTCATCAGCGATCAGAGCGACTACTACTCCGTCAACGATGCCCTGTCAAATGGCCACATTTTGCAAAATATCTTCAGCACCCGTAGCAATGACTTCAACGCCCGCGCGAAGAAGCCGGTCCAGAAGCTGTACGGCTTGCAGAATGCTATGCAATTGGAGTCTCTTATGGATGACGACGTCCGCGTCTTTTGCTCCGAGCTAGAGAGCCGGTTCATGCAAGGTGACAACAAGGGCAAGACGTGTGATATCGCAGACTGGATCTCGTACTTTGCCTGGGACTTCCTAGGACACATGACTTGGAGTAAGAGAATAGGATTTATGGAGAAGGGAGAGGATGTCGGTGGTATGCTGAAGACGGCAGAGAATGTTATGCGATATTTCTCCGTGGTATGTACTGTCCCGTTTACTTCTGTTGAAGAGACGTTCTCTGGGTTCTGAGCAAATAAGTAACTGCGCTATGCTGAACAAGTTCTTCATTCTGCATCTATTGGGAAAATTTCACGGTGTCCCAATGGCATGCAACGCGGGTACTGGTAGTCTTTGTTATCCCTCTTAGTCAATTACCCTCAATCCGTCAAGCGATCATATACTAACGTTAATTAGGTCGGGCAAATCCCCGCTCTCGATAAATGGCTAGGAAAGAACCCCTACCTACCAGCATCACTCTACAAATTCGATGACTTTTCCGTAGCAGCTGGCTTCTCAGTCGAGCGTTTCATGGAGCGAATGCAGAATCCCGAACTCAACAAAGGCAAAAAGGACTTCCTGGCCGGATTCCTAGAAGCGAAAGAAGAGTCTCCAGAACTCGTTAGTGATAATGAAGTTATTGGTTACATGATTATTAATGTGAGTTCCTACCTAAATCCCACACAGAAACGAAAGCCCTGATGTCAAAAGAAAAAGACCCTCTCACACCCCCATCTCAACACATTCCTTGATAACAAACCACTAACAAGACCGATAGATCCTAGGCGGCGCCGACACCCTCGCAGTAGTAATAAAAGCCCTCTTTTACTACCTCCTCAAAACCCCCTCCGCCAAAGCAAAACTCACCGCCGAACTCCGCGCGGCAAACCTCTCCTTCCCAGCCCCCTACAAGTCCCTCGAACACCTGCCCTACCTCAACGCCTGCGTATCCGAAGCCCTCCGCATCCATCCCGTCGTAGGCCATATATTCGAACGCGTCGTGCCCTCGGCCGGACTCTCCGTTTCCCTCTCCTCCTCCAACAACCACAACAACAACGGCGCCAGCACCGCCAGCACCACTGTCCACCTCCCTCCCGGCACAATCGTCGGCGTAAACCCCTGGGTAATCCACAGCCTGCCCAGCATCTTCGGCGCCTCCCCCCTCAACCTTCATGCCCGAGCGCTGGCTCCGCGCCGCTGACGAGTCAACGGACGCATTCGAAGCGCGCATCAAGAAGATGAAAGATGCGGACATGGCGTTTGGCGGCGGGAACCGGATTTGTCTGGGCAGACCGCTGGCGTTGGTGGAGCTGTTCAAGGTTGTTGCGACGGTGTTTGCACGGTATGAGGTGGAGCTTGAGGATCAGGGGGCGGAGTGGGAGTTGCATAAGCAGTGGTTTGTTTGGCCGCATGGGGTTAGGGTGAGGATTAGGGCTGCTGCTTGAGAGAGGGGGAGCTGGGGATGAAGGAGGAGGGAGGGTCGTGAAGGGGGTTTGTTGTGAGATGGTTGAATGTCGATGTTTGTTGGTCCTCCACTTGGGTTGTTCGCGAGATGAAGAGATGTAACTAACTACAATCCTACATAATTGTGGCGAGTATAAGGAAATTTGGTGGGAGCTGTAGAGACATGGTACAGCGAAATTGTGAACGTCTCCCTTTGGCTTTGAGATAGATGTCGAATATACAATTTCCACTTCGTAAACGCAAATGGAACTGTCAAAACACCCCTCCCCTCTTGCACATTCATCCCGCGACAGCATTCTGACCGGGGCTGATAAGCAAAGCAGAGATCTCGAAAGATATCATATACCATATACCATATACCACGTAACCAACACCAGGACCCCCTTTCCAAAAAGAAAAAAAAAATGAACAAAAAAAATAACAAAAAAGAAGAAGCCTGGCCCCTCAGGTACTCATATTGCCCGCCGCGGACTCGAACCGCGGCCCCCCGGCGTGGCAAACCAAAGGACTTGTATTTCTTATTGCGGTCGGCACCGCAGCCGGGCGCCCACCCAAACTTACAATGTGTACCACCGGGCCAGGCTGACCTAGATGTTAGTTGAGGATATTACGAATCTTTTGGTATATATAGTGCAGGTATACATAGAGGTGTAAGTAAGTAAGTAAGTGTCGTTTGTTTGTTTGTTGCGCGGGCGGGCGGGGTAGGAGAGGAGCGTTTGTTCTCACTCACTACAGGCCGCAACACCGGTTTCAGGTTTGGGATATAGTGGGAATAGTTGTGGGCGCGGGAGGGCGTTTGCTGTACGGATAGAGATAGTTGATTGGACTCAGACCTAGCAATTCCAAACAAAAAAAAACGCCATATCCATGCAAATAGAAATCTTGAACTGAACTGAACTGAACTGAACTGAACTGAACTGAACTGAAATAACGAAGGTGCCGAGGGTATATAATAATCACAGACAAACATGATTTCATGTACTCGATTGAAGTGACCGAAAACATCAACAAACAGTCTTCACCACACAAGGGTCTGCCACAATCCGTGAGTACATCCAGGGGGGCTCAGTCTACGAGCCCTGCCCAACGCCCTCAAGGCCACCACCATTGGAGAGTCCAAAGCTATTCCTATTGTCCCCAGCGTTTGGGCCCTCGCCACCGTTGACACCAGGGCCATTCATCCCCGCAGACATGGGGCCGTTCATGCTGCCATTCATATTGTTTAGCGCACCCATGCCGTTACCATTCATGCCATTACTGCTCATGCTGGGCCCAGCCATGCCGCTAGCCATCTGGTTGTTCATACCGCCGTTCATTCCACTATCGATACTCGCACCCATGGGCCCTAGTCCCGGACCCAGACGGGGATTCTCGTTTTCTTCGCCCATGCCGTTGACGTCTGGCCAGAAGCGCTGCTCAAGCCAACATATTTGCCGGAAGATTTCTTCGCAGCGCACCATCTCTTCTTTCCCGTCGCGGGTTGTTGTGTTGTTTGCTAGCTCATCGACGAGGGCGCGGGTCGCGTCGACGAATTTGTGGAAGGCGGGCGAGGTCCAGTTTGGTATGAGGGCTTGATGGAGGGCGATGATGTGCGAGTCGTTCGAGGGCGTGGAGAGGGAGGAGCTGAAGGAGGAGGCGTATTGCCAGGCGGAGCGGTAGCACTATTTCGATCAGTACTTGATTAGCCACGAGGAGAGCATGAAGCGTACGTGTTCGGTGCCCCACAGAACAACCATGCCTTCTAGAAGCGATGCGCTAGAACTACTCGCGCTCATAAAGAGGTCGAGCAAGGCACGCGTGATAGGCGTTGGGCCCTCCATGCCCAGCGCAAGTCCGTACTTTGTCGCTGTGATCTCGAAGAACTGCATTTCGCGTCGCATGTTGTTCAGCGCGGAGATCAGCAAGTCCATGGTCCTATACATGTGGTGGAACTGCGAGTTCTGCGTCTGCGGTAACCGTATCTTAGACAGCAACTGTCCGACAAATCGAATGTATCCTCGTGCATAATGCCCGTCCTGAACTAGCCATTGTGAAAGCGGTCTTGCGGCTAGCGACCCACAGCCCGCGTGGGAAAGGAAGGGTTGCTGCGTCGCGTGGGTGAAGGGCGCGGAACATATGGTAAGTAAATGCGCAGTCAACGAAGGCGCGTGATGCGGTGTCATGTGTAAATTCGGCGCAATGGGCTGGCCATCGCGAGTGCGCTTCGTATGCGGGCCACGTCTATGAACCTGGAGGTTTGGATTCGGGGCCTGGCCGTTCAGTATCTGGCTTGGGCCTGGAGGTATGTTCGAATCATCGGGCGTGCCATTCTGGTTTTGTGATTGCGCCAGATAGGCTTGCGCATCGGGGGAGGCGAGGTAGGGCTGGCACTCCTGGAGGTGCTCGATTTGGCGGGTTGTGTTCTTCGCCCGTACGTAGCCGCAATGCAGACATCGAACCTTGTTGCACTTGCTAGGCGTCTCCTGGTCTTGAAATTCTGCGAATGCCTGCACACAGTCAGTCTATGTCTGCGAGCACTTGTTGAATGGTGGCACGTACTCTGCGGATGTCTGGATTCGCGTGGCGGCCCATTGCGGCCTGTGGAGGTCGTTAGCATGGCGAAGGCGCTGTCTTCTTGCGACATGTTTTGGTGGTTGCAGTCGGTCGCTGTCCAGATAACATTGCGATATGGGGAGACGGGACGGAGGAAGCTGACTTACTCGAAACGGCTTCCTTCGATCGATGTATTGTATTGCGTTTGGTACCGCTGAATACCAGTTGTGTGCTGATGTCTCCGCAATTGGCCTTAGTCAGCGCTGCTGGGGACACGCCTGCCCTCTTTCGCGAAAGGTAACAGCGCCATGCGTCGCAGCTGCTTCGCCAGAGAAGGCATCAACTTACTCGAGTAGTACAAAGGCATTCAGCTACAGATCAACGACACATTTCGGGAACTCAGTGTAGAATAGCTCCCATGCCATCGCCATATGTTCCAGACGGCCGAGGATTCAGGCGCATCTTAGTAACCATGTTCTGTTCAACTAAGTGGAGCACGAAACGGGTACGAAATGTTTCCCGCTGGCCCCGCCAGTATTCTTCCAGTTTTAAACACCGTTACAACATAAAAGGGATGACAATCTAACATCTCACGCTTTCGTCCGGTACTCGCGTCATCGTCGGACTGCCACCTGTGTAAACATATCTGCGTTGTTGCCCGTGACAGGCCTGCTGTGGACATACAAGTCCATCCATTTAGATTCCTGAGTCGACGCGGAGGATATGGGGACTTCAAGTCTCATATCATCATGCTGCACTTTGATAGAAACTTTCAGCATCACACCAACACATGTTAATGACTACTTCCAAGCATCTGATGCTCACCATCATCATACACCGAGGCTCTACCACAGCACGCACTCTTTACTCACACGTGCAGTGACACCATCACCCAACCACGCCGCGACCAGCGGTACCAAAACCTCACGATACTCTTACCGCATCCTCTTACCCCACAAAATGCGCGATGAACCCCATCAAGCCAACACCACCGCTCATGCATGGCCCGATCCGATTCCCCGCTCGGTCGACTGGCGCCCAGCGCGTCAATCTTGATGCTACTTCGTGACCGATGACGCTGCTCTACTAACTAAAACAAGAGGGTTGGAACCTTTCAGCGCCCTTGAAAGCAGCAACCGCGCTTGTGCTACGGTACTTGTACATACATGGACATGCAGCTTCTGACTGCTTTCGGCATGTCGACATGTTCAAGCGCTGAGATCACCATGTGCGTGTGATCGTGATAGGACTGCTGCGTCCAGTGTCCTCTCGTCGTTGCTGCCCCGCATCTTCATCACGTTCAGCCGCCCAAGCCAGCTTCAAGCCCCCGATGCAACACGACGGCCCACGCATTATTCCCGCACACAGCCAGCAACAGCTCAGCGCCCAAAACAAAACCGCCCCAGCGGACGCTGAGTGGCAGTTCTCGTGATGATTCTCGTGACCTGCTACATGAGAAGAAGTTAACTTACTTCAGGAAGCTAACTACTGTGTAAGCAGACACCGGTAGTAAGATTACGGTATGACATCGCTGATCAAAGCTATGGAGCACACCGGGGTAATAAGCGCTTCCGCCTTGTTTTCTGGAAGCTCGTCCGGGCACACACACCCCCCTTGCTCCTGTGCAGGGCTGGCAGGCTTACTGTACCGACAAGACACCGAGCCGACTCGCCTGCGTTGATGTTGGCAGCCTGACAGCCTGGCAGCCTTGGAAATCCTAAGTAACTGTAGGGCTGACGATCACTCAATATAAAATTTCTTGGGGGGCGCATCATCATATGTAAGCGGTCAGGGTTACATAGGTATGGTAGGAGAACGTGGGCAAGGCTGGATGATGAACAAGCTGGAAGCTGGAAGCTAGCAAAGCAAATGATGGCATTTGGTGTGCTTGTGATGCCTGTCGTGGGTCCACGCGGTAAAATGGCAATCTTCTCATGGGCAATTTCTATGATGATCCGCGCGCGTTTCTGGACCGCCTTCTTTGCTCCCCCGCAATTTTCTGGCCATGAGCCGCTTTTGGCGTGGAGCGAAGGAGATGCACAGATTCACGGGATGATGGCGTGGAGAGACACATGAGAATGTGGAAATGGGAATTGAACATTACCTTGCGTGAGGCGAGGCCAGACGATATTACGAAGGGGGTGTTTGATAATATGATGTCAGACAGTCCTGTCCTTGCATGGACACGTTGTCTCCCTCGCACAAACACCCGTTCTGCCATTTCCCTCCACTTCTTCCAGGCTTCCAGCCCAGCATACTGCCTAGCTTCACGATCCTGCCTCGGAGGTACATACACATTGTACCCAAGATCGACACAGCTTACATACTCACCAAGCGTGGCCAGCGCCCCGCGATCCATGTCGCGATCTAAGTGGCTGCAGCAGCAACAGCGCCCGCGGGTCTCGAGTCGCATGGGCGATCCTCACATCATCGCCATCAAACGGGGCACCAATCACGTCAGCGTACCTGACTGACCATGCTTGACCATGCTGCACCCTGCATACCTACTCCGTACAGTGACCAAGGACATATGACCTGCCTTGTCTGTTTGAAAAAAAGCCTTGCCTAAAGCATGACTTTGTGCCGAGGAGAGCTGGACCCTGTATGGACTGCTGGAGGTAAAGCCGCTCACTTGGGGCAGCTGGCTAAAAGGGCACCCAGCACAGCACATCACATCTGTTTTCTACCGGGTAGTGCTAGGTAGGTAGTGGTCTCGGGAATATCTGTTTCCCCATGACGCCGCTGCGTCACTTGGTGACAGCTCAAGCGTTTGCCAGCTCCGAACACAGTAACGATGTACAAGCAAGCTTGCCCCGTGAACCTGGTGCTGGTGTGTAGTGTACAACCGGTGTAGGACAGTAGCATGAGCATGACTTGTACACCGAACTGCGGTTGGCTGGCTGCCTGGACTGACCTGACTGCCTTGGAACTTGCAACTGTGCCTCGGAGCTGGCATCCTTGACACCGCCTTTGCTGGCAGCGAGGCGGCAGAAGACGGGTTATAGCTTTGGGGCGAGCAGGGTAGCTCCGCAGAATAATGATGATCG